GGCTTCGGGTGTGGACTTGGGGGCCGGGCGGGCGAGCATCATGAGCATCAGCTGGGGTTTTGTGGGCCGTTGGGGGGTCTGTGGTGGGCAGTCTTCATGGCGGTACAGCACGAACGACCCCACGTAGCAGAAATGGTTGAAGGGCAGGGGGGAAGGGGCGAGAATCGGAGAGGCGACGGCCATGCCGGCCCGTGCCGCCAGGCCCTACAATAATTCAGGATCTGGATGTCATCTTTATGAAAAAATACGCTCTCTTAGTCGATGTCTGTCAGACAAGCTCTCGACTGCACCTTTCGCGGTGAACGAACTCAACACTTCGGCCAGCGTTTCTCAATTCTTCAGGTCTTCTGCTGGAATGCCCTGCCGGGCTACAAAGGCCGTTGGCGATTCTGAGTTCGGCACAATGCCAGGGACCACCGTCCAGGCGCCGTGGAAGTGCCTGAGAAGGATGCTGCGAAGAGACGAAAGCAAGGGCCTCTCAGCAAGTTTGTCTGGCTTTCTTCCGAGTTAAGTTAGGAGTGGAATCACAGTTACGACTGCGATACACAGGACTCGGGATCCGGATCTCACGCAAGCCCAAGTATCTTGAACAAGCCTTTATCATACCCAATCGGCTTTCCGACTTCCGACGCTCCTGGTGCACCAACTGAGAAGCTGCAGCGAATGATACTTCGGGCACTGCCGACACATCTGTCTTCTATCTCTCGGGAAACCGATATTGGAGTGCATGCTTTGAATCTTCGCTCGGAGCTCTCCCCTCAACCTTTGTCCTGCTTGGGTTTGCCTGGAAGCTGCCCATCCCATGCAAGCAAGCTCGCTCAATTCAGTGCAGCAGATCTCCAACCTTGCGCCAACAAAGCCCTGACGTCTCAACAGACTCGAGCATAAAGTTGCGCATCTTCTCAGGTCCTTGCACGACTGAATGGCCGCCGGCAGGGCACTGCCAGCACCTGAATCTTGGATCCTAGCAAAACGAGACGCACGCCTCACCACAAATGAGAGCGCGTTGTTACCACGACAGAAACAAAGATTCCGCACCGTAACAAGAAATATAGGCACCACGACAGAAAAGCAACTTCACCATGACAGCCCATTCAAATTCTCACCACGACAAGGCATCAAAACCACACCACGCCAAGGCATGCAAACCTCACCACAAGACATCAGCAGCAGCAACAGCAGCAGCAACAAAGGTGGACACATCATCAGCATCAGCACATTCACATGTCAGCACCACGACAAGGCATGAAAACCTGACCACGATGAGGCACGAAAGCCTCACCACGTTCAGCCATCAGCAGCAGCAGGACACATCAGCAGCATCAGCACATGGCTTTTGCCATTTTCAGAGCCTAACTGCTCCAAACGATGATTCCCCTGCGTGGGCGGCAGAGAGGGGGAGACGCACGGGAATCGCCATTCTGCCATTTTCAAAACATAAATCCTCCAAAATGGTACATGAGGCCAAAGCACCTTCGAGATCTCCGACTTGCCACAACCACCGCAACAAAGCGAGCGCCTGCACTCCAGCTGCGGGCTGTACCCCTACTGTTGCACTCGCTCAAAACGGCCATTCACTTTGAGCTGGTCCTTGTCGCAGAATGCCGAAAGTAAGAGCCGACAATGCTGTAAGATGCGCTTTATCGACTGGTCCAGGTGCCAGAATTATGTGGCGGGGGGGGAGGGGTTTTAGGGGAAGCAAGCCGGCAGCTCGTAGCTGCTTCGGGTTTTGGCAAAGGCTGTGATCTGCAGTCGCTTTCATGTCTCCTGCGACCACTGCTGCGCCGCGGTTGCCCCGAAGGCGGTCTGGGAGGTCTCCTGAGTGATGTCTCATGACGGTCTGCGAGGCCCCGCCGCGCCACATATACGACCAGCCGCTAGCCGCCCAGCGCGCAGCGAGACCAAAAGCCGCAGCGCACCGCCCCAGAGCCGGCCTTCTGACAAAAGAACTTTGCAGACCATGTGTTCGAAATGCGTCAGAATTCGATGACCTCTTCCCACTCTTTGCATTTCAACAGGGAATGAACTTGCTTCTCTGGATCCAAAGCTGTCGCCCTCAACAAGGAAGCATCACAAAAGTTGCAGTTGGTGGGCTCATGATAGGTTTCCGCTGCTTGTTCGCTGCTTTGGCAAGAGAGGCAACCACCTGTCAGCCCTACACGTGGGCCTGCACGAATTTATGAGTTGTGGGTTCTGGGATGCAGACTGGCGGGGTTGCGCTAGGGAAGTTGAAGCCACAAGCTGAACCCCGAACAACACCTAGAATCTAGACACTGAGTGACATTGAGCATGCGAGGCTCTCCTTGACCACAGCAGTCCACCGCGATTCCGACGGACACCTTGCCGTGGGTTTGTCGACATCCTTTGCGTGTAGTCTATCGACTTCATTCAATCTTCCAGGCCTCAGCAACCGTCTGCTTACTGCTCGTGCAACAGCGACCATGACGATGCCTACCACTACAACTATGATAACTTCTCCTACTTCGGCTCAGCAACAGTGTGCAAAGCAACGGGCTGCGAACGTCTCTCTATGCGAACGTGGATGCGGGATTGTGTCGCCCTTGCAACTTGCTGTCAGACCACATCAACTGAGATGATTGGACCTGCTTGCTCTTGTCAGCACTGGCACCGTGGAGATGGGGGCACTGCGTATTTACATACTACCTACAAGCACCGCCCGCTAATGATTCCCAATGATTCCTACCTGGATATTCCAGAAAACTCTACAAGTCAGGACGCAATGACTTTTTCAGAAGCCCATGAGGCCCCTTCCGAAGCCACAAGACTGCGTGGCGTGAACTTCGCCTTGCCTCGTCCCTGCAACGTAAGGGCAACTGGTGAAGAGACACGGCCCACCGCCCGGCATTCACACACGAAGCCTCGGACGGCCACAGTGCTGAGGGCCGTCGGAGGTTTGGGGAGACAGTCTCTAAGTCTCTAGACACTTGAAGGAATCATCCCTGGTTGTTGCGATCCCAACTTGCTTCGTGCGAGTACTGGGCCCGCAGTCCCCAGCGAACGGACGGAGAGCGGTGCCTGCATGTCGTAGAACAACCTGCTACAACGCCAGCTTCATGGGCCCCGTGGGCCGAACGCTTTCAATGAACTCTTGGCCCCAAGAACTATAGAACCCAACAGATCTTCTCCGAAACTCAGCGTCCGGCCGCTACAAGGTTGGCCACCACCCTGTCCCAGCCGAGGCCCGCCGCAGCTGCAACCCTTCGCAGCGAAAGGCCCTGTACCAAAGACTCAGAAGCTGGGAAGCTGCTTTTCTGCGGCTCTGCGCACGCTCCTCAACTTCAGCTCTGAAATTATGAAACTGCACCCTCCTCAGCAAGCAACGAAGATAGACCTCAGATAAGCGCTGCAGATTCCACCTGCGCCCAGGCGCAAGGCAACGATGGCAGCACGGCTGCCAGCACGAGCAGGTTCGGCCGCAGCGAGATCTGCCAACCAGAACGCTCAATACAAGTGCAAAATGCATCCTGAAAACGTCAGCGAATGGCTCTTCGCTGGATCAAGGGTCATCTTGGGCTGGCAGGGAGCGACCATTCAGATTACAGTCTGGGCCAGGCCTCCTTCCCAGACCGGACGAGGCCCATCGCAGCCGGCCACGAAGCCGCACGTGCGGCGAGAGACAGAGAGATCTCCTTGCGGCAAGAGTCCGGACTCCAGATTCTGGGATCAAGCTTAGCCCTAAGCATCTGTCAAAAGCCTAAAAAGGCCTGGCATGTTGTTGATCCCGGCCCTAATACACTTTAACACCTCTCAGGCGGAGTGCCCGCCATTTGCGGTCACGGCGTGGCACGGCCGAAATGCCATAGTTTCCAGCTGGTCCCATGCAAGCTGCCGCTTAGGGCTCCTGCATATCACAGTCTACCATGGCCGAGAACTGTAGCAATGAAAATAGAAGCTGAAGAAATGCATGCGTCGCGCATCTGATGCCAAATCCAAACAGAATCCATGCAGTTAAGCCCGAGATTTCGGCTGAGCGTCACTTGGCTGAAGCTCCCCGCCGAAGATCCCAAGGGCCGCCAAAGCGAGGCTCCAGTCCGCTCCACTGGGCAAGCTGGGTTTGGGCCGGGTGCTGCACGCGTGTCTTTAGGCTCTCGCTTTCGGGCGTGCAAGGCTTGCATCTGCGGGCGCTAGCTGCCGCCAGCTACAGCAGCCATGCGACTGGCAAGAGTTGGAGCTTTGCCCGGCAAACCACGACGCGAATCACCTGCTTACAATCTGGAGACGCGCGAAGCGCACGCCTGGCCTTGCTACAAGCGGCAGAAGGCCGGCGTTGGTGAGCGCAGAATCCACCTGCGCTTGGCGCGCGACCAGCCCCCCCGGCATATTCCAAACTTTAACATCAAACTTGTTTGGCTCTGGCTCAGATTGTTTGGCTGTCGATTCAGCCTCTGTCGCCGAGGCCCGAATTCAAGAGCTCCGTGCCAACACGGCTGGCATGCTGGGTTACATACTTGAAGAGAGTGCCAACATTACCTGCACCCCTCCGATGTGACCGATGTGTACGCGGTGAGTGCCATGAGCAAACTCCGTTGCATGCGGACTGCAGGAGTTCTGCTGAAGCTGCCGTTCAGTGAGGGAGGTTAGGGGCGGCGACTTTGGTCCTCCGTGACTGGCTATGCCACTTCCTGGAGGGAAATGAGTAAAACTTCCGCGAGGGTTCGGGGTGAACCAAGCACGCTTTGAAGCAAGATTGTAGCTGGCTTGCTACATGCGACGTGCCACAACGGCTGGCAGGAGCCATAGACGATCCCAAATCCCTCAAAGAAATCGAAGCCCTGAACCCGGCCCGTTTTTCCTGGAACCTAGGGCTACTAGGGCCTGCATGAGTGCTATACAGCATGGCAGCGCTCGCAGCGAGCACGCCCGGCCTGAAGATTGCAGCTCCGGGCAGCCCGCAAGATTTGGCAGGCCTGGAAAGCTCCATGAAGGTGTGGCTTCATGCAGAAGCAGGGGCAGCTAGTTCGCCCCACGGCCTTGCTGACAGAACTCAACACATCGCTGGCTCATGAAGCATGGCACAGTTTTGAGGCGCGGAACTCGTGGTGCATAATGGTCTGCAAGATTGGTGGCAGTACAAACTTCTGCAACATCACAGCGGCAGTCCACGTGATGAGATCCAGCGAATTTCTACGATTATACTGATTATACAAAAGACACTCGGAGCGGAAAGCACTTCTGCATTTTGCAGTGCTCCCCTCCTGTTTGACGAAGACGGCGCTTGCTTCGCAAGCAGCCTTACTGGGTCGAGAACCCACTATTCCTCCGAAGAGCCTACAACACTCTCACCCATCGCAAGACGAGTGCACAGGCCCAGTTCTGGAACCCGAATTACAGACTAGTGCTGGCGGACCGACCCGAATACAAACGAGCACACGCAAGACTTCGGCTCAGGTGAAGCATGATCAAGACATACTCGGAACACAGACATAGCTGACATAGCTTTGTTACTCCGACTTGTCTTGATCATCTTCTTCATCCACTTCCTCGTCGAGCTCAGCATAGTCCTTGCTTGCATGTTCAGCACGCAATCGGTCTAGGTACGCCTGGTTTGCTACAGATACACCATAACAAGAGCAAGAAGTGCAGATGCTTCCCATAACCGTGCCATGGCTCCGGAAAGAGCCGCCTGAGCAAGGAGCTGAACTCAATAAATCCCTCATTTCCCGGATCGAAGAGCCTTGGCAACGCTCCTGAACTCTACAGGAGAGAGTAACCTTATGGCAACCTTCACCGGGGAGTCTAGAGAGAACCTCACGGAATTCGTGCTAAACAGATAGTTGAACTGTCGGTCTTGTCACTCTCTTCTCGCGTAGGCTTCTGCCTGCATTTCGCCTTGCACTGACTTGCCCCGGCAGTGTGACCATGTCAAATACCCAAGCAGCATGAACAGCTCGATCAAGCTGTCGGTATCCAGTCCCAATCTCATTTCGTGAAGCAGCTCACAAAACTCCAGCAGGTTCAGCATGCCGTCAGCATCCGCATCTGCGTATTGGAAAAGTGCCTCGACTCTAGAGTGGCTGAATTCAGGTCTTTGAGCATGCGGCTCACAGTCCGCATCCTTGCGACGATGCATGACCCGACCCGGCAATTGCAGGAAACGTCATATCCCTTGCGCCTCCACATCCTCGCCATGGTAGCCTCAGCAGCTGCAATCTGAGAGTCCTACTGTCTGCGCGGACGGACAAAAGTCTTCAGCCATTTCTACGCAAAAGGATCGAGCTAGAGATCGGACTCTGTGTTACCTCTCGCGCCGCTCGCGGCAATCAAGCGCGGCACTCCGAGCTTCGAGATCCTTAAGCCTTATCCACAGCATTTTCTCATTACTTCGCCATCGCGCCGAACAGAACCTCCCCCAGTCCGCATCATCAAACCTATCACTGACTACCCTCCACCCTTCGATCAGCGCAGGAACCCCACTTCAGGAAGCACTTGCGCACCCTGGCGAACAGGAGAACTTGCCGCCGCATGTGCCAGGCTGCGGTGAACTCGTGCCCTATAATTCCAACCTTGGATGCGTCAGGTTCAATATTACTGGCTGTCGCAAGCATTCACAACAAAAACCCCGGCAGTCGTCACAATCTTGCAAGTTCCCAGCTCTAGCACACAAGCAGAATTTCACGAATCTTCGCCAAATGCAGTATTCTCAAACATACTCTCAACCATCTGCCAAGAGCTACAGCATGACTGGGCCCATTGAAATGGCCCGCAACCCACGGCCGGCTGACAAACGTGCAACCGTTCAAACGTACGGAGCTCCTGCACCAAGATGGCTCGGCCGAAGAGCCGGCAAGGCGAAAAAGAGCACGCTGACGGTCGTCAGAACGGAGACGAAGAGGTAGCCGGACACACTCTTCGGGGCATAGTCGCCGTATCCTGGTGATGGCTCCATCATCGTGGATCTCTCGCTCTCGGGGCTTGGGGATCATGGCTACATGGCTACAGCCGTCCCCGAAGCCAGGTGGACTGCCCCGAAGAACCGCTTGTGCTGTAAAACCCTGAACTAATCAGAACACGTCTCCGACAGTGGTCATGGTGACGATCGCAAGCCAGATTGCGTGTGCCAGGCTGGGGATGTTCGACCGGACCTCCACGAGGTAGATGATAGTGGCAGAGGACAGCGTAATCAGAACCTTTGCTGCTTCAAGACGAATTTTACACATTCGCTGGTCCATAATAGTAGCATGGCTGCTATGGCTTGAGCTTTTGCTCGGCCGGGCCTTCTGCAGAGCCAGCCAGATTGCACGATGAGAAACCTTAAATCAGCCTTGCTTTAGCTACTTCGTGTGACAAGAAAGCCTGCTGAAACCGATCCCCGATGCCAGGGTATAAAAGAGGACCGGCAATGCCTCCACAGAATTCGCTGCGGCATCCACAAGCAGCCGCAACGACTCGAAATACCGCAGCAACTTCAGCAGGCGCACGACCTGGGTTCTGTTGATAGGCCTGGCTCTGTATGGGACACACATCCCGAAACCCTTGAAGTAAAGAACCACCGTCCGAAGCTGACCAGTTGCTGGGAGCACATACAGGAGGAATCCCTGCACCGCATCTGCTCCGGACGCTGTCATGAAGCCCGTGCTAGCCCGAAAAATCAGCCCCAGCGATGCCAGCATGTCTGCCCAGTTGTACAAATCCGCAAAGTATGTGGCTTTGGACGGTGCAGACAGCAAGCGGCACAAGAACTCAACAAGGAAGATGGAGTCGATGGCTGTCTCTAGCACAGCTGCGACTTCCACATCCAGAAAAGACTCCTCCTGGCTTGTTTGAAGAAGTGTCACCACGAGGCTAAGAACAACTGTCAGTCGCAAGCTCATTGATAGCATCCAGGCAAGCCAGCTGGAATGTGGATCATCCAGGATCTGCGAAGGCATGGCAGGGTCGGGTGCAAAAGTCGGGCACATACCGTTCGGTGCTGTGAGTCGGGAATTAGGTCAGGCTGGGAAGAGATCAAGGCTTGAGGGATCTGGGGCAAATGCCTCCCAAAGCCGGTCGCATCGAGAACGGCGCGTGAGCCACTGCGCAACTTTGACCGACTTGTCTGACGTTGTCGCCGGGGTCGCCCAGGGAGCTTGCCTTAACATACCCGATTCGAAACAAAGCTCCGCCATACTGAGCGGTCCAGATTCAACCGCCACAAAACCGCAGAAAGCAGGCGCACAACCGGTTGAAAGCACCACACTTTCCGAAGAGCTAGGCATGGCATTCAACAAGCAGTGGAGGAAGTGTCAAATGCATTTACGAGCCGGGATATGGAAAACTAACAAACCCGTGATGATTTGGCAGGGCTTCCCCGGATGCTCCTACAGAAGCATGAACCTCTGCTTGATATGAGCACAATCTGCTTCATCTTCAAAACAGTGCAAGCTCTGCCCCATGCTAGACTGCACGGCCCGATTCCGATGCAAGAGACACATGGCTTCAAAATACAGACAGCAGCCACGACAGCCAGAGATCAGTCTTCCGCAAGTGGAAATGCACGGGATAGCCGAAAACACAAAGTACCGCGAAAACTGCAAAAGTATGTCGTTTCGGAGTTAAATACCCCTTCTGATTTCAGTGCAGGGCACGGTTAAGGGGAGTTGGGCCGAAACACGTGCAACCATGCGTTTCCTGTAAGAGTTCACGTCACAGCATCGACAGTGCAACATCCCTCCACAGGAATTGCTGAAGTCGAAACGAGTGTCGCTCTCCTTTGCCGTTCTGCAGACTCCACGCCCCGCCGACGTCGCTGGTTGAGCCTGTTAGCCAGCTCTTGGCGCGTGACCGCCTGCGTTGTGCCGGTGCCGGAGATGCGGATTTAGCATCCCCAGGCCAACGGATGATAAACCAACTCAACCTCTAGAGCCAGATGCCCCACTCCGATCGAAAGGAGTGTGTTTTTTGGGGGGTTACATCGTCCGACCTCCGGCTGCCCGTACTCGTTGAAGGGTATCAAATGCACGGCCAACGACTCCCGTGGCAGACCGGCCGCACTTTTTGTGAGGCTGGCAGCAGACTTTCTTTCGTTTATGGCCAGAGACACTCTGGAAGCCGCACAATGGAAGCTGGAGTTCACCGACATTCCTGTGTTGGCCAGGGTCAACACTCAACAACCTGAGCCCCGAGCGGTTCTAGTCGATACTTTCAGCCTTGGTTCTGGAGGGTCGAGAAGCGAAAGCAGCCGACGGCCTTAAGGAAAAGGAACTAACCCTGGAGTCTCTGGCGGCGAGCGAACCCAGCCGCTGCGGCTCGCTGGACTCCGGAAGGACTGGCATCTGAGAGGGCTCAGGGACCGTGGCCTCAGGCGTGCACGCGCAGTGCCTGTCACAAACTCAGAGTCGTCCGGCTCATTTCCCAGGCCGGGCGGCGAGCAGATTGGAGCGCTTCGGAGCCGGAGCGGCTCCTCGCGGCGCGGCCGGGGCCGCGGCTGCGGCGACCTCTGCCAGGCAACGGTCCATCTTCTCGGAAATTTGGTCCAAGCGCTTGTGGATCTCCGCGAAGGGATCCGAGTCTGCAGGATTCTTTGGTCCATGGCTCCAGTCTGGCGATGGCACTGCATTTGGCAACATTGTGCCGGGCCTTTGGCGCACCCGCTCTTCAGGTCGCTGCAACGGCTGCGGAGTGGGACCATGCCAGCAACTGGGTGGACAGGATATTCGGGTGCAATCCTTCGAGCGAGCAAAGTCCATGGTGACAAGGCAGCCAGACACGGCCAGATACGGCTGAAACAGCCAGTAAGCACCCCCAGCATTGTCTGTCAACACCTCTTTTGGAGTGCGTTTCGGTTGCAACAACCGCCACAACGGCGCCTATTCGACTTGATTCATCCTGGCCATGCTGCCAGTTGCAGCTCAATTCACGGCAACGTGTTCCACATACAACTCCAAGCCACAATTCTCAGCCGGCAACTTCAAACGAAACGCAACTGAACCCGTGGTTTAACTAGCATCCTGCCTTGGCCCATACGTGTGGTGGCAAAGATGCCGCCAAAGTTGCACACAGCACCACATCCGCCTCCAAGGACAATTTTATGGCAATCACAGCAGGCAACTCGACCCCTTTGACCTCCGCATGTGTCTCGCCGCTCTTATCGGATGGGATTGGCTCAGAAGCACTCAGAAGATCTAGAAGGGATTCGACACCATGCAATCGCGCGGTCGTGGTGACAGTGTCAAGACTCAGAGGGTCTAGGAATCGGGGGGCAATGCTCCGGTTTCACCTCCATTGAAGGTGCAACCCTGGAATCTCTTCAAAATGAACCGGGCCGTCCTGAACTGCTCGTGCACCCAGCAAGGTTGTCACGGCCAAGGCCTTGGACCAAGCCTTGCAATTGGAAATCTTGCGCCAGTCAAGCAAGAACTTTAGACGTCACCTCCCACCCCCTTGTATTACACATTATTACACATTGTATGCACTACTCCGTGTTAAGACTGCTGCATCTGTGAGCAGGGAGGAGATTCCACAGCAAAAGCTAGCTGGTAGCAACGGACCAGCAAGGGAAGCTCTCCCGCAGCAACCTAACAAAGATATGCACTCGAGGGGGATGAGAACTGCTTCAGCACTACCTCGTAGAAGCCAGTTCTGGAATCGACAACCTGGTAGGCCTGGCTGCACTTACATCGCGACAACAATGCAGAACCAAAACACCCAGACTGTAAATCCCTGCGGCCCGTCAAGCTAGGCGAAAGAAGCAAGACCTGCAAGCCCAACATGTGGTCGGAATGCACCTTGGCATGAGATACCTCGGGGAATGCTCGTGTGGTTTGTGTATGCCGACAACGTAGCATCAGAGGTTGGGCAGGTACCAAAACATCGCCCCAATAGGAGGCGACGACAAATGTCAAAGACAAACTCCATATGCTTGGGACCCAGACTCGGCCACAGACTCCAACTAGGAAGCGCATGGTCTACTTGCCAGGCCATGGGTCTGCAATCATTCTCGCCGAAACAACAACGCTCCGAGAACATGCGAAGCTGAGCGAGACTCAAACAGCAGTGGGGAATGACTGTTCACGCAAGCAAAATGCTACACCAACAGTGGGATGAAAAGGCCATGCCAATGTGGGTTGCATGCGGTCATGAGTTCTAAAGCATGCTCTGGACTGACAAGCCTGGGCGAATCCGTGGAGAGCGGCCGTAAAGGTAAACTTGTCGGCCACAAGCCTCCTGTTGTCAGAGGGCTCGTGGTGGTTATCTGACTCAACCAGTCCAGTAGCTTTCGGATCACCGGCCTTCCTCCCAATTCACAATTTGATTCCCTGTCCTACTCTCTGAATTCTCCGCGATCTAGAGTTCTCTAGATGGAACTCCCTACCAAGGCTCTGCCTGCGTGGCAGCACTTCAAGCAGCTGACTGCATTGCAGCCATCGCTGCGATTTGAACCTCAGCATTCAAAAACGGGAATTGTTGATTGCATTCCCTTTTCCCTGGGCATATGCAATGACGCGGTCCAGCTTTCTTTTTGCTGTGTGGTCGTAGGGCGGCAGAAATGAGTGTTAAGGCCCGGGCCCGCGACCACTGAATTACTTAATCCCCGCAGGCGGATGCAGAGCAAAACGACTCGGGTTCCAACCGGATATAAAACTTGAGTTTTTCGTGGCACGTGTTTCTTATTCTGGGAATGGCCGGGGTCAACCAACCAACGATCCCTGGCATAGCTGGCGGCTGGACAATAAAAAAAACTATGTTTACGTCCCTAGTGTTTACAAATACAAATCTCATAGTTGTAGCATGTGACCCTCATATCCCAGACCTGGCCGATGAGATGAGAACTATGAACAGTAGGTCGCAGAACTCGCTAAATCATTATTGCAAGAGTAGGACTACCAAAAAAGCACACACATATCCATGTCGGATGTTGGTGAGGATACCAAGAACAAGGAATCCGTTGAGCAAACCTGCGACACCGGAACTTGTGCGGTACAGAAACAGCAAGCTGAAGAAAAGCTTTAGATTGACGGCGCAAAGGTAGTTGACCCAGGGCTGGCTCTGATTTCGCTAATGCCGGCCGAGGAATCGTACGGAAACATTGCAAGGAGGAGATGAGTGCAAAGAGCTTCCTTAAGGTAAACCTTGACACTAACACTGACACTCAAAAGGCCAAGGGTGCAACCTTTTGCTTGCGGATTTGGCTCAACTCTTTCAAGAGTCATTGGGCCTCAACCCTGCACCAGATGCCATACAGTTGATAACAGAAACCAGGGCGACCTACCAATTCAACCCTCCACAAACAGATAAAGCACAATAACTCCCCAAGTGGAAAAATGGAAACATGTTACGTAAGCGTCTTGAGGATGCACTCCAGGTGAGGAGCGCGATGTTGAAAGCCACAAGTCCCGGCTCCAGACTTGCAGTCCTAGTCCGCAAGGATGGATTCTGGCAGGATCCCATTATTGTGGATACCACCTTCCTGGAGAGTTTCAGAGGCGCTGCTTGCGGATCCGCTGACCTATGGACGAGATGGACTACTGTAACAAGCGTGGTCACCTGGCCCCGTTAACCAGGCAACCAACTCCTGCAGTCGACGAGCACTTGCAGCGGTTTCTGCCAACCACCTCAGCAATTACCGGCTTGAATCGGCTTGAAGCGAGACTGCCAAGAAGAAACGAGATTCACGAGAAAGGGCATGTCTGCAAGCAGGCGCTGTGCGAGAATGCATGTTGGAGCTCTACAGTTCAGGAACTTCGAACATAGATTCGATTCATCCCGTCGGCCGGACGCTGAGAAATTCATCCCTGGATCAAGCCGGCGGAAGCCTTCCACATGGGACTACCTTGAGTCCTCCCTAGCTTAGACCCGTGTTTCGTAGTCAGCAAGCTGTCTTTCCATTGAAAGGCAGCAGCGGCTGCAGCATGACACTGTGAAAAAAAAGATTGCGTGCTACCGTAGCAGTATCTGTTATGTGAGCAATCATTTAGCAAGCCTCCAGCACGCAGGGCCCGATGCAGAGGGCGCTGTTCTGTAGCCTCAGTGGGCATCGTTCTGGCATAGCAGCAACACCAGAAACAACTCTGTCGCTAATGTGCGCGATTCGGTTCGCAAGCGACCCAACCCGCGACCAGCACAGCCCGATTGAAATGTTTGGACCCTTGCAGATTCCTTCCCTTGAGCCATTTCTGTGGCTTGGGGCTTGGGGCTACCAAGGCCATCTCTCTGCGAAGCTTGGCCAAACCGCCTGGTGGCCGCAGAAGGAGCAACCCACTACCCCAATGACAGGGCCTTCCAGCACCTCCCAGGCAGCCAGCGCAAGCAGGGGCGGAAGCATGTGCAGGGACGACAGCGCTGCCCCCCCAAAAGCTCTCGACACGCACCCTTTTCGCTAAAAGCTTCCAACGGCACAAAGGAAAGCCCTCCAGTCCTGGGAAGGCCCGCCAGCCCCAAACTGGAAATGAACTGAAGCAGTGACCGGCGAAAGGGTCAGGCTTTGCACAGAGGATTGAACTGCCAGCGAAGTTGCCGAAGAGTCGCGGCGGGGCCTGGGCCAAGGGTCATCTGCAAAGGCACTGAGGAAACCAGACGTGCTGCAGGGCAGCGTGATTCCAGCCGGCGGCTCGGTCAACAACACCTTTCGAGCACTTCTCTTCCGCTGTCAAGCTTGCCAGCAGTCAACTACGAGCTCTCTGCAAAACATGCAACATAGCATAGGCAAAAGCACGTAAATCTGACTCGACTTGGCATGTGCAGAGCATTGGCATACACACTTCTGTTTGTTTTACCCACGCACGCACGCACGCAGTATCGCATCGCTGCATCGGGTATAATTAGAACGGTCTTACAATGCTAGGCGTGATTTAGTAAGGTCTGCAACACAAGATGCAGCTGTGCAGCCATGGTAATCAAAGAAAGACACAAACCCCAAACCCCGTCAGATCCTCAAGGACAAACCCAACTATCACCAAAACACCTCACTCAAGCCCGGAAGCAGCAGGCAGCATCCAGTACAACAGTGCAGATGGTGGGATAATGCAAAATATTCCTGCATCAAGCCTTCATGCTTTTTTCCGAGTGGAAAACTGCTGACTTGCTACAGCTCTTTGCGTCTGGCCTGCATGTACCTCTAAGTCCAAGACTCGACCCTCGCAAACACGGCCTTCAACAGCAGCTTGAGGTCAGGCTAGCGATCCTGCACTAGGCTCGCCATGTTCTGGAGAGGCATGGGGTCAAGGCAACTTGCACGCGCTCTCTAAGACTCCACGGTCACGCGGCAACTGCGCAAAAGACTGGCTGCTTGAAAGAAAGGCTAGGATCGAGCAAACCTGTCCACAGCCGGTGCTCTTGCGGCTGAAAAGTGACTGCTTCTGCTGGCGTCCTCCCGCAACAATCGCCTGATGGCACTGCAGCAGCTGCCCGGCATGATGTCTCGCTGACTAGCTGGCGAGGAGATGTTCACGAGATTCGGTCCGAAACCCGAGTTTATGAGCAGGGCGCTGTTGTGGGTTGAGAATCATGAAAAGCGCGCACCTGGGCGAATCCGGTACGGCAACTATCGGAGTGAAAATTATGGCTAAGGCTAAGGGGCTAGTGGAAGTCAGCTTCAAAGAACTGTGGGCCGCAAACCCGTGCACTTGACATCTCAGCAGTCAAAGATTGCTTTCCAGGACAGGCCACGAGCGTTCTGGGCTTGTCGTCCGGGACGGACAATCTCGAAGCACCAATGCCGCGCTTCTTACATCTATGCCTACTGTTGTTCGAACTTCGATGCCGTTCTGTTTTTCCATCCGGGCGCTGGTCTTCGGCTGACAGGAGGCCTAGATTCCATCAACATGGCCATCTCCTCCGGCGATGTCGCAAACATCACACCGGGAAAACACTGCCACGCTTCGGCTTTCAGCACCGCAAGCTTGTTCCACGCTTGACCCTTTGCCGGCTCAGAAAGCAGCTTCATAACTGCAATTCAGTTGCCAGGCACCCTCGATCATCAAGAGTGGTGACACGCTGGCAATTTCGGCTCTCAACCCACAACAGCCATAAGGCAGGCTGCGGCCTGGATGCGGGTCCGTCAATGTCTTAAAAGCCCATCGCAGCCTCAGGCATATGAGAGATCGGTCTCTGACTCCTTATGGAGCACAAGATGACTCTCGGCAAGCTTATGCGCGAGGCGCTTTGGTTGCAGGTGTCAGCCCCATGAGAACATGAGAAGCTCAAAGCACGCGGGATAGTCGCCCCAGGAAATCATAAATCGCGGCCTTATGAGAGGTGGGCCCTAATTATTACCGTCGTTCCACATGGAGCACAGCGGGCAGAAAGATCAAGTGAAGCATGCCCAACGACTGCGGACAAGAACATGCAGCCTTCGTGCGGGTCGCGGTCATTGCGAGCGGCTTGTGCAAATTCGATAATCATGCAACTGCAAAGATCCACGTGTGGGATCGGATTGCACACCTCACCCGAAACTGAAAAGGCTGGATTGATGTCAGGTTTCCAAGTGCATGCTTGAGACCTCTTAATGTATTGAAGATTTCTCAGAAACATGCAAATATAAGATCAACCGAAACTTGAGACATGAGCTGATCACGGAGTAAAGGGACCAAAGTCTCCAGGACATGCCAAAGCATGGCCCGAGCCCATCAGCTTTCACGGAATGGCCAGGCTCGTTCGTGGCTTCTCGTCCCTGAATCCTTGGGAAGCAACAGAACCCAGCATGATATTGTCCCAAAACAAAGACCCAATGTCTCGAAAGACAAGGAGCCGCCATCGGCGAAGCCGTGGCTTCCCAACATGGTAGGCAGCTCTGGAACAGACGGCAGCTCGGTCTCCGAAGTCCGCGTGCGCGCCTCAAGGTTCCAGACGTAGTGGACGTTGTGCACGTTCTCGCAGACGAGGCAAAGCTGGAGGAAGATCAGAACCAGGAGCGGTGCCCATGCTTGGAAGAGATGGAAGGAGGCCAAGTAAAAGAGCACCACGCTCCTTGCCGCACTGCTCTGGCGTGCACCCGTTTTAGAAGTTCATAGGAAGCACAACTTCAATCGCACGGCAGCCGACTCGGCAGAAACAAGAAACCTCCAAACTGAACCAGCCTGGAGCCTTCGACTTCGACCCCAAACGCGAGGCCAGCGGCCCATGGCCCAGCACGCTGGCCAGCGCTGCCACAACCGCGCACCCTCTGAGAAGCGGCCGGGCGCGGGAGTCATGGGGGCGCATGAAGTGCCAAGACACGGCGAAGAACTCCTGGGAAGCAAAAGCCGAGGCATATCCCTTCAGCTACGGTAAACACCCCCCCGACCCAGCTCTGAAAACAAAACCTCATGACTGGGGAGTGGTCATTCAGTTCATATGCCTCGGTGGCACAGCTGGCGGCGTGGATTGCCGAGTTGCTAAGCAATTGAAGGCCAGGAAGCTCATGTGCAGCATCCTTACAAGCAGCCAAGAAAGCTTCCGGGCTAGGGTATGACCAGTCGCAAGGACTCAACATGGCTCGACTCGAGCAAAGTTGATGCCGGACTTTCCGCAGGGCCTAAAAACCAAGAGCATGCGCGGCCCTCTCCGCACAACACCAGCAGCAGCCTTGCCCAGCTCCCCAAATCTGCGCATGTGTTAGCCGCTGCGGTGCGGGGTTTTTGGGGGTTGCGGCAAAAGGCTTACAAGCCCCTCGAGCGATCTCGGCACGTGGTAGAGCGGCTCGATACTGCGTTTCAAGTCGTACTTCGAATTGCTCAAGGGTCTTTTTTTGTGCAAGCGGAGGGCTCCAGTTAAGTTAGAACCCGTCTGCACCGACCTGTCAGATGCGCTTACGAGTCTTGCGGCTTGGTTTGTGTACAACCGATACCCAAAATGCTCCATTTCTGGCAACTGTGATACTTGGCGATAAAAAGGAGTCTTGTCCATCCAGACTAAGGAGAGCGAGGCGTGTGCTTCTCGAATTTCTGCAGAATTCGGAATGGAGAAAAACTAGTGATCGCGAGGAGAATGCCAACTCTGCCAAGTACTGGTGAGAGCCGGGATCTGCGGAGGGGTTAAGAAGCCTGTGGTAGTAGGAAGACTTGATGTTAAAAATCCTTCTTAGACACTTGTAGTGGAGGATACTGTGCATAGCATACATGAGAAAGGATTGCGCCACTGATCTATAGACCAGAAGTTTCCACTTGGGAGGGACATGGCCATGCTTCATGAAAGGAGCCAACTTTTTGGATGCTTCCATTGCTCTGGAGACTCTAGTGGAAATGTTCTTGTGATTAGAAGAGCGGGGGTTCAAATATACCCCGAAGTACATGACTGCGTCTGAATGAGGTACTTGTGGGTCATCGACCGGGGAAAGGATAAAGGTGGGATCAAAACTGATGAGGTGGGGGAACTAAGTCTCAGATGTTCGCATTTTTCGAAGTTAAGGTAAAGGCCACGGCGGGCCCCTTCCTGCTGGATTAAATGGAGAAATTGCTGAGCTTGAAAAGAGGAGTTCGACAGCAAAACAATGTCGTCTGCATATTCTAAGTTTCAAAGGGAGGGTCCCAGGCGAAGCACGTCGGAAATGAGTCCATGTTCAGCCTCATAGGCGGTTTCAACGGTTTCAAACAGATGGGTAAGCACAGAACTAAAGAGATAGGGCGACAGCGTTTCAAACCCCGCGTTCGGGTGGAAGTGTGAGAGGTATGTCGACCGTCCCGGGCCATTTTGATAAAGAGAGGAGATAGCCGGTCTGAGAAGAGGAGGGACTCCCATGTACCCGAGCGAGGCTTGGATCTCAAGGAGTCGACGAAGAATATGGATGAAATTGTCTGGAAGATATGTTTTGAGGAGCGTTCTTGCACGAAGACAATTTTGAGGAACGCACTAGAAGATGTTAAAACTTGATTGGAGGTGGTTTGCCCGTCTGCTTCACTAGGCTGAGCTTGGGTAAGGAGATACTGCAGGTTGTGATCGATTGTAGCTTTATTCGCAAAAGGAGGTAGCCGATGAATGACCACTGTGCGCCGAACAGTGTCTGCCTCAATGCTTTGGAGCGCCAATCCTTCAAATCTCGCAAGTGAGCCCTGCCGACCCATCCTAATGTGGTTGGAAAGGAGATCCAAGGACGGCTGCACCGTCTGTTTGTGATACTGTGCCAGGTAGGCTTGAGTCTAAGTGGGCACGTGCAACAGGGAGACGCCTTGCATGCTCCATGGGCCGAATCTGTTCGGAAATGAATCCCGGTTTGAGTGTTGAAACCACACCACATCTCTTTTACTGCTGAACCACCTGCCGTCACTTACAAAGCAGCCCTTCTGGGCGAATTTGTCATGTGTAAAATTTGCCACCCCTGTCTCGATGATTCCCCGATGTTGCCAGGAAGACTACGACGCATGAATCTCAAGTCCACAATGCAACCTGCTGAGGCGATGAAGCGTCTGCAAACACGACGGCAACGAGTCCGTGCACACGAACAATGCCTCGTGCTCAGCACATCTCACCGGAAACGAAAACAGGCTTCTACTGGTTCTACTCGTGGATCCGCAACAAAAAATAAACATAAAAAACACATCCTTCCGACGCTTGAACGGGTCACAGGACAGCCCCGAGTGTTCAAAGTTGCCACTCTCCCCTCTCCCCTTCCCCCTCCCTCCCTTTTTAGGCGGGACCGTCTGCCCGCACTGCTAGCCACGGCCGCCCTCCTTCTATCTTTCTGTTGAGCGTAGGGGTCAGCTAGCGACCCTCAAGCCTTTGGCCCGCCTAACCAAACCCTATGGAGTGGCTGGCGTTGGGCTCTCCCCTTCTCTGTTTCTATCTCAGCATCCTGCTGTAGCCAATGTGCTACCTGGAATGCATTAGGCGGTAACATGTGGCATGCACGGTGCCGGTGCAGCCGGAATTGCTGAAGCTACTTCGAAGATCTATGGCATAGTCCACCCTATCAATCAGTGGAGGGTACGCCTTCGCTCAAGACATGTTCGACATCTGTAGTCGCATTTTGTCTGCGGGTGGCAGCTGAACAACCGCGCCGAGGAGCATTCCAGCAGAAAAGAGGAGCAGGTCGTAGAGCGACAGCCACGGAATTCCACACATCAAGCAGATCACCAGCAACATGGAGCCATGATGGAGAAACCTCGAAACACCGAAGGTCCAGGGACTTGAAAGTGCCCTTCAGATATCCGATGCCAGATTGCAGGTGTCAGCTTGCAGCCCCCGGGTAGGCTCCACAGGGACAAGCTCCACACCACTTTCCTTCCATGTCTCAAAAGGCCCGAGGAGCCGCCAAAAGCGTGGGGGCCGCTGCAGCAGCTCGAACATAAGCCTTGGTCTCTGAAAGTCTGGGAACTTCAGATCGCCTGGGCTCCCGGATATATACTGTGCTGCGAGCCCCGCTGCGGTGCAGTGGAGAGCAGTACCTTCCCCACCTCTTTGTCACTTTGTGGTGTGGGCAGAACCCCTTTCCCACACATGGCGAAAACAAAGTCCCCCCATGAAAAAGGAAAAAGCCTGAATGATGTGTAACCGTGCTTCTGAGGCCCTCCCTGCAAAGTTAGCCACCCTGTGTGAGAATCTCGGGTTGGAGCGATTCACTACGAGTCTCGCCTTGGAGCTTCTGCAGACTTGCGCATATTGTACATATTGTATACGCTTCCAGATTCCGTCGTGTCTGACACTCCGGAATCTAAAAAAACAGGTAGCGGCTTCTGTAGGGCGCCGTGTG